TATGTCTATGTACTGCATGCATCCCTGATTCTCAACAAGGTCAGAAGTTGGCATCAAACTCTTGGAACTAGAGTTAAGGATACTTGTGAGCCACCATGTGGGTGCTGGGAACTGAACCCACATTCTCTGTAAGCAACAAGTGCTCTTAACCACTGATCCATTTCTCCAAGTCCCTCCAATCCCATTTTTAAGCTTTATTCTCAACCTAAATTTCACACTAGTTAAGCTGTTGAACTGGAAACTGACAGTCTAATGCCTATCTAACCTAACTCCTACATATGTGCAGGTAGTGATGTAATCGGTTCAGAGTTTGGACTCTCCCTCCAGACCAAGATGTCCTCAGCTGCCAATAGTTTTCTGACCTTAGGATGTCACTTAATGCTCTGTGCCCCATTTTCCTGCCCTGAGAAATGGGCATCACAGGACTTACAAGTTTGCTATGAGTTACTAATAAGTTAATATGCACAGAGTGCTCAGGGTGGCGCTACAACGAATAACTGTTCAGTAACTATCAGTCTTGAGCAGAGTAACTTTGTGGGTAAGGAAAGACCATGGGTGTCTAAAATTATTTTACCAAAGTCATATAGCTAGTCAGTAATAAAGGCTATATCCAGATAACCTGTGCCCTGTCAGGACCAGCGTTACCTCTGAAAGAGCTGTGTGGCCAAGAGGTCCCTCTGCACACACACTTTCTAGAACCTGAGAGGCTGATAGCCCATAGGTGAGTTTCTATGGAAGACAATGATGCAGTGTTAAACTCAGGCACTTCTCCTCACACCCAAGTTCATACCTATGCTTCCTACTGGGAGAAAATATGGTGTGGGGAAAGCTTCAAGTGAATATGACTGACCATGCTGGGGTAGATCCAACATCTCTTGGTATCAAATACTACTGTTTCACTCATCCTCAAAACAGCCTGTTTGGCCCTACTTGTGAAATAAACAAATAAATGAAGGAAGAGACTGACCACAGATATATACCAAAAGAAAACAGACATGAAGTAGATGATAACAAGACAGTGTATGGACAGATCAGGGAGAAGGTGTGTGGTCTCAGAAGCAGTCATGCTCCCAATCCGCTGGCTGTGGTTCTGGTGCGGTAGAGGTCATACGGACCACCATTTACTGAGTGGTTGAGAAATAAGGGACTGGTCTTGAGCAGTTTTTCTACCCGTAGGTATTTGAAGGCAGCAGTGATAGCATCCGGTAAGCAGGAACTGCAGCAGCTGGCTCCCCCTGGTGTTAAGTTCTCATGCAAGTCTCGGATGCCAGGACTCAGTCCTACAAGTGGTACAACTCTTGCATTGGCCTCGAAGTTAGGATTCCTCAGCCTTTGACAAAGGTCAAGAATACAGTTCCCACACCTAGGGTGTCTTTAGACCCTTGGCCTTTAGAGCTTGCTGGTGCTCTAACCAATGCCTTTGTCACAGTCATGACAAGCATTACCTCTCTTCTGCCTCTCGCTCATGAAAACATGTAGTTAGTTCCCTACTTCTGAGCGTCAGCCATACATTGCTGCCCCAGTGACTCAGCTTGCCAGCCACTCTACCAAGAGAGCTGGATGGACCTAAATCACTGGAAAAGCAGTGTTTTCATCAGTCACAGCAGACCTTCCGTGCACACAAAGGCTTGTGTTTACACCAGTCCTAGCACTGCCCCTGCCAGGTGCCCAGCAGAAGTTCTCTGTCTTTGGTTTGGAAAAGTGTGATTACAGAGAAAGCTCCACTTATGCTGCTTCTAACAGTCAAGCCAGCACTGCATCCAGTGTTCAGACCATAGCGTAGCTTCCACAAAGCATCCATTGGACACTCCCAACAGCTGGTGTTGGTGTAAGAGTGGTTCTGTTGGCTGCTTGACTGACAGTCTTTTTGCCCAAGACAGTCAGGGCAGGAGAGGAGATTCCAACAGCTGGGGGCAGGGAGAATTGGCCCATCCCCAATTCCTTGCTTCTTCATTGTAACTGGAATTTTTTTGTCCCGTCAGGTCCCACTGCCGCTTCAACCCCAAATAAACACACAGATGCTATATTAATTATAAAACTATTGGCCGATAACTAGAGCTTCTCATTGGTTAACTCTGTCTTAATTATTAACCCATTTATATAAATTTATGTATTTCCACATGATCTTGGCTTACCAGACAATACCCGAACCTGTTACTCCTTTGGTGGCTAGGTGGTATCTCTTCTTGGCATCTCTCTGCCTCTCTCCCCAGCATTCTCCTCATCTCCTAGGCCCACCTATCTTCCTACCTCTATTGGCCAAACAGTGTTTTATTCATCAACCAATAAGAGAAACATATTCAGAAGGACATGCCCCATCATCTAGGGGCTGGGAGAATTGTCCAATCCCCACTTCCTTTCTTCTTCATGGGAAAATGGATGTCAGGAGTGCTTATTGTAAGAGCTTTGCATTGACACTGACTGATTTTAAATGATGTTAATAGTGCTCCTACAATGACTGACACATTTGATCAGTCCCCCAGAAAGAGGGGGGTCCCCTCCCTTTGCATCAGCCACAGACAGTATGGCTTGATAAATTTGGTCTGAAACTTTCTGCATTATCAATGAGCAAATTGCAGGGATACTATGATAAAGACATTAAGAGTGTGTACAAGGAGCTGGAGAGATGGCACAATGGATACACACTCTTGATATGCAAGCATCAGGACCTGAGTTTGACTCCTAAAGTCTATGTAAATGCAGCCCAGGTGCCTGCTGCGCCAGAGCTGTGAAAGCAGAACGAGAGGATGACTGGGGCTTGCTGGCCAGCAGCCTAGGTCCATTTCAATGGGAGAGCCTTTCTCAAGGGAGTAAAGCCCTTGTGCCTCTGCCACATGTACAGGCATATGCACATGCACACAAATGCATATACACCACAGTCACACACAAAAATAGTCTCTGTCAAGCCAGATGGTGGTGGCACACACCTTCAATTCCAGCACTCAGGAGCTAGAGGCAGAGGCACGCAGATTTCTGTGAGTTCGAGGCCATCCTGGTCTGCAGAGTAAGTTCCAGGACAACCAAGACTACACAGAGAATCTCTCTCTCTCTCTCTCTCTCTCTCTCTCTCTCTCTCTCTCTCTCTCTCTCTCTCTCTCTCTCTTTCTCTCTTTCTGCCATACATACACACACACACACACACAGAGTTTATATGCACCACATACATGCAGGAGTCTATGGAGGCCAGAAGAAGACGTTTCAGGTAGGTGCTGGGAACCGAACCTGGGTCCTCTGGAAGCACTCTTAACTGCTAAGTCAGCTGTCTCTTCAGTACCAGAGTTTCTTTTAAAAATCTATTTGGCTGCCGGGTGGTGGTGGCGCACGCCTTTATTTCCAGCACTCGGGAGGCAGAGGCAGGTGGATCTCTGTGAGTTTGAGGCCAGGCTGGACCGACAGCCTCCAAAACAATACAGAGAAACGTTGTCTCATAAAACCAAAAAAACAAAACAAAACAAAACAAAACAAAAAAAATCTATTTGGCCATTTTGTTGTTATGTGCTTGGTTTCAGGAGGTAGGCTGTAGAACCAAGATCTTAAATTTTTTTTTGTCTGAATCTGCTTGATTTAGCCCAATTTCACTGGATATCTAGCACGACATACTTGTATTATTCATGACCTTATGGGGAAAGCATTCAGTAACCCAGTGCCTAAAGATGAGGAGGTTGTTTGAGTAAACTGTGGGGGTAGCATTTCTAGGACAGAGCCACCAGTACTTCATTTCTCTATGTATCCTATAGTAAGGAAATGTTCCATTCATCTAGTCATTCAAATGATAGACATGTGGATTGTTTCCACTTTGGATAATTATAATGTTGCTATAAACATTTATACATGAGTTTTTATATGACATGTATTTAATTCATTTGTCTTGAATGAGTATCTGAGTATAGCACTGCTGGGTTGAACAGCAACTCTGTATTAACTTTTTGCTAAATTGCAAGATGTTTTTCCAAAATCAGCTCAAAAAGTCAATGCTCAAGCTGAAAGAGATACTTTAGCCGCCCCAGCCAGGCCTCATTATACCTCAGGCAGGAAAGTGGGGCCCAAAAGGGACAGGGAGAAGGGCTCCTGGGGTGGTGCAGAAATGAGTGTGCCATACCCATGGCCAGACCTGTCTTATCACCTGGTGCCTCAGTGTTGTAGAATCAGGGCTTAGCAGAGCAAAGCGCTTGCTTACAAGCATGGGCTTGTGATCCTGGACAAAGAACTTCAGTTTTCTATATTTCAGTTTCCCAGTTAATAAAATGCGGAGTATAGTCAGGCATACTGGCACATGCCTTTAATTCCTGCACTCAGGAGGCAGAGATGAACAGATCTTTTACATTCAAGATCAATCCAGTCTACAAAGTGAGTTCCAGGCCAGCCAGAGTTACTCTCAAAAAAAGAGAAAAAAAACAGGGGGAGGGGGTGTTCATGCCATTTTTGTGATTAAATAACATAAAGTACTAAGAACCATGCCATAAAGGCAGTAAAATGGTATTTAAATTTTTAAATAACTCACTTTTATTAGCAAGTTGCTTTTGTGCAATGGCTCTGTGATCCCCTAAGACCTTAGATAAACTCCAGGATGCTCCATGACTGTCAACAGTGGCGGCCAGGGCTCCAGCCACGGTTTTTCTGTTTCTTCCTTCTACTCCACACTGAATTTTGGCAGTAAGACATCTCCACAGACTCAAAACCACAGGGACAACAAAACTCTCAGTCTTTCTCCTCTCCTTCCCCACACCCAATTCAGGAGATGCCGGGAAGTGGTGGTTCCACAAGGTCACAATGCACCTGTAGAGGTCTTCACTTGACTGTGGTCAGGGGAGATGCATCCTTTTCTCCTCCCCATGTTCAAAAGAGTGTTCAGAACGTGCAAGCACGCTAAAACTGGAGAAAGGCCTCCTCTTTGGTTCAGGTTTCTTCCTTTGCTGGGATGAAATATTCACAGAACACAACCAACATAGCCACAGGTGGCATTCCATGGCTCCTCTTCTTTCATCTCTGTTTCTCTTCAGGTCCTGAAGCACCTACGGCACCTTAACTTTACCAACAACATGGGGGAGCAGGTGACATTTGATGAGTATGGTGACCTGATGGGGAACTACTCCATTATCAACTGGCACCTCTCCCCAGAGGACGGCTCCATTGTGTTCAAGGAAGTCGGGCATTACAACGTGTATGCAAAGAAGGGCGAGAGACTCTTCATCAACGAGGAGAAGATCCTGTGGAGTGGGTTCTCCAGAGAGGTATGAGCCAAGCATGCCATGCTGCCACCACAGACAAGGGACTGCTGGCTTCGGGGGCGGGGCTGGGATTCATCACCAGCCTCTAGGATAATGTCCTTTTCCTATGCTCCCCAGCTCTGAGTGTCCTGGGTTCCCATGAATTAACGTGTGTTTAGTGATGAGAGGAAGCCTGGGAACCTGAGTTTTATGACTCAACTCTCTTTTGACTCTGTGGCTAGTCATTAAGTTTTCCAGGCTATACTTCCCCCAACCAGAGCAAAATATTTTTCGGCAAAAAAATCTCTCAAGTCATTGGCTCTCAAGTGGCATCAAGGGAAACATCCTACCTACCCTATGTAGGGGATTTAAATTTGAGATTGAAAGGACTTCTTTATAGATTATCACAATGACCAGGAAGTAATAATGGCCTTCAACACTTGGGGTTCAGGGATGCTAAATGCCCAGCATGCATGGGACAGTCTTTCATAGCTTTTCCATTAACCATGCAGTGATGTGAGCCCGAAACAGAGCTCTGTGATTTTAGAATGAGGATGTTCAAATAGCTGCAGGCTGACCCCATACATCAGAGGGGCCATTCATTCTATGACCAAGAGGAAGAAGCTTGTGACTCTGGGCCAGGTGTCCTGCTCCACATCACTGTATCTGAAAGACTGATTAATAACCAGAAGCCCATGACTCGGTGAAGATGCTCATTAAGGAAAGACATGATGAAATGATGACCATCTGGTGGTTGCATGCTAATGCATTGGTTAGCTTTTGTCAGCTTGACACAGTGCCGACTATCTGGAAAAAAGAAAACCTCAACTGAAAAAAATGCCCCCATCAGATTCACTTGTGGGGAAGTCCATTAAGCATTTTCTTGATTAATGATTGATGTGGGAATGCCCGGCCCAGTGTGGCTGTTGCCACCCTTGGGAAGGTTGCATAAAAAAGCAGTATGCGCAAGCCACAGGGAGCAAACCAGTAAGCAGCTTTTCTCTGTGGCCTCTGCTTCAGTTCCTGCATCAAGTTCCAGTCCTGGTTTTCCCTGATGATAGACCGCAACCTTGAGGCCAAATAAACTATTTCCTCCCCAAGTTGTTTTTTGGTCATGGTGCTTATCAGCACAGCAACAAAAACATTAACTAGGCTGCTAAAATGTAGCAAGATGCAGAACCCAGATGCTCTGCAGAAGCTGACTCAGGACCAGGCATCCTCTAACTCCCTGGGGAGTCTGGCTGAGATCCACTACATTGCCTTTCTGTTATGATCTTTGAGTGTTCTAAGCCACTTTTCACAACGTGACAGAAGTACCAACTTTGTTCTTATTGCCTAATTGCTATGATTTTGCTGTATCCCAGTGTGTGAGATGGCTTTGCCATGGGGAGGTATCCTATGGCAGTTAATCCCAGCCACAGAGTTGGCAAATCCTCATCTCAATTACAATATGTGTCCTGACCTTCTCAGGATGGAGGTTTTGGTTTTCCATGGGTTAAACGCGTATGCCCAGTAATTATACCTTTGTCTATGTTTGAAATGACTGAGCCCAAACTGACTGGCCATTCCATCATCAATGTACCTTTATCGTATCATCAGCTTATCATTTGGCCCTATTAATGCATGTCATTGTCTGTCACTGGCACATGTCTCATCACCCCTCCTGCTTGGAAGCTATTTCCTGTGCAGTTCCCTATAATCCTACTGTCCTCTGTCAGGCTATAAGAATGACAGGCTTCATCATTAGTAAATGTGAAACTGAAAGAGTCCTTATTAATGCAGTCATTTATGTTCCTAACTACTTGAAAGAATTATAAATTAAATTTCAGATTTCCATAGAAATGTGATCTAAAGCCAGCACACAGTAGGAGCCTAACAAACCTTAGAGTCTGATACTTCTGAAAAACTTATAGAAGTGCTTAATTATAAATTATATATTAATAATTTCTTTACAAATCTCATGAAGTTGCTACTGAGATCCAGAACGTTACTTGTGTGTTTGAAGCAAACTGTCAAGTATATCCACACTTGGCCTTACCACCTTTTGCTTTTACAGGGAACAGGACCAAGGACCTTGACCCTCTCTCCATGTAGAGTGGCTCAGAGTTAGCCACACTGATCCTTATATACCCAAACTCCTCACTTTGCACATGTCAAAGGAGTTGTAAGACTGGTCCTCGACCCCCAAGCTACAAACCTCTCCCTTTGTGTTCTCTGTCCACAGGTGCCCTTCTCCAACTGCAGCCGGGACTGTCTGGCAGGGACCAGGAAGGGGATCATTGAGGGGGAGCCCACCTGCTGCTTTGAGTGTGTGGAGTGTCCTGATGGGGAGTACAGCGATGAGACAGGTAAAGGATCAGCCCCTAACAGACCCTGTTGACTTGGGTTGTCTGCGGGGGGGGGGGGTGCTGGGGGGTAGGGGGGACGGCGCGGGGGGAGGGGGCGCGCAAAGCCCGTGGGTGAACTGGCAGAGCTGGTGCTAGAACCATCCCCCTTCTGAGGAGAGCATGCTAAACACTGAACTCTGCTGGGCATTAGATGGAAGAGAAAAGGGATGTCGGGTATCTTTTTTACTATTCCATGCATTTACAAACATTCCTGTCACACACCTCTCTCTTTTCCTCCAATATTGTGTCCCTTTTCTTACAGTTTCATGGCCCTAAGTGGACAGAGTGTTGTCTGCTCAACTTCCAGAGTTAACAGGCTGTGATAGATGACCTGCTGGTGCCTAGTGTTTTGTTTGCAGTCTCTCTGATATTCCTCCTAGGTCTTGAGTTCTCTATTCACTTATTCATTTATTCACTTATTATTTATGTGTGTGCCTGTTTTACTTGCATATATGTATGTGCACTGAGTGCCTTGTGGCTGTGGGTGTCAGATCTCCTAGAACTGGAGTTATAGACAGTTATGTGCTGCCATGTCAGTGCTGGACTCCAACATGGGTCCTCTGTAAGAGCAGCAAGAGCTCTTAACCAGTGAGCCCTATCCCCAGCTCCGTCTCAAGACCTTCTAAAGTCGAATCACAATTAAACCCCTCACATTGCTGTGGTAATTAAACAAATTAATATTAAGTTCTAAATGTATGCTACTTAAATAAAACCTTGACTAGTGTACTGGAAGGACTAGATAAATATTGACTATAATTCATGATTTCAACCATGCCACGATAACAGTCTCATCTTTCCCTCCATCTTAGAAATGAGAAAACAGGCTTGGATAATGTGCCTCACCAAAGTTACACCACTAGGAAATGGCATAGCCAGGGTCCCATCCCGATCTCTAACTGAAAAATCCATGCTCCTTTCCCTGCTCCAAACTGTACACTGCCTGGCAGGCAGTGACAACTTAGCAAATAGTGTCTAACTCAGTGTTTCTCAACCTGTGGGTCACAACCCCCATGGCGCAAAGGGCCATTTCACTGGAGTCTCATATCAGATATTTACATCACAATTCATAACAGCAGCAAAATTACAGTTATGAAGTAGCAATGGAAATAATTGTATGGTTAGGAGTCACCACACCATGAGGAACTGTATTAAAGGGTCACAAGCATTGGGAAGACTGAGAACCATTGGTCTTGATAAATATGTGGCCTCCCCCACTGGAAAGTTGAGAACATAGAAATGACTGGTCATATGCAAGGAACACTGTCTTTATCTAAAAGGACAACTATTCTGGCATATCCAAAATAAACTAGGTTGTGTGTGAGAGAGTAGCAGGGTTAATACATTTCATGATTGCAACCATGTGACTATCTGTTCTCATCCGGCAACTCCATCCTGAAAAACCTCAAACATGAACAATTTAATTTAATTTTGTTTTGTTTTGTTTTACGAGACAGGGTTTCTCTGTATTGTTTTGGAGGCTATCTGTCCAGCCCGGCCTCGAACTCACAGAGATCTGCCTGCCTCTGCCTCCCGAGTGCTGGGATTAAAGGTGTGCGCCACCACCGCCCGGCAAACAATTTAATTTTTTAAAAATCGTAAGTCAGACAAAACTTGAAACTGAGTTGATGGGCCATGTTAGACCACTGGGGTGCAAGGTAGTGTCGCTATAAACTACTGCAGATAGTGTTAAAAGAAATGGACCACCCCTCAATTGTTGGGGGGCAATAGAACTTTCAAAAATTTTTTTTGTTTTTTGTTTTTTGAGACAGGGTTTCTATGTGCAACAGTCCTGGCTGCCCTGGAACTGGCTTTGTGGACCAGGCTGACCTGGAACTCACAGAGATCCGCCTGTGTCTGCCTCCCAAGTGCTGGGATTAAAAGCATGCACCACCAATGCCCAACAAGATGTTTATTCTTAATGGACGTAAAAAAATCATCAATAAGTAAAATATAAAGTGACCACATCCACTGTCCACATGCTGTGCCACACAGTAATTGAATCTGCCTACACTGGTTCATTTTACAGATGCGAGTGCCTGTGACAAGTGCCCGGATGACTTCTGGTCCAATGAGAACCACACTTCGTGCATTGCCAAGGAGATTGAGTTTCTGGCGTGGACTGAGCCCTTTGGAATCGCTCTCACTCTCTTTGCAGTGCTGGGCATTTTCCTGACAGCCTTTGTGCTGGGCGTCTTCATCAAGTTCCGAAACACGCCCATCGTCAAGGCCACCAACCGCGAACTGTCCTACCTCCTGCTCTTCTCACTGCTCTGCTGCTTCTCCAGCTCCCTGTTCTTCATCGGGGAGCCCCAGGACTGGACATGCCGCCTGCGCCAGCCTGCCTTTGGCATCAGCTTCGTGCTCTGTATCTCATGCATCTTGGTGAAGACCAACCGCGTCCTCCTGGTCTTTGAGGCCAAGATACCTACCAGCTTCCACAGGAAGTGGTGGGGACTCAACCTGCAGTTCCTGCTAGTTTTCCTCTGCACCTTCATGCAGATCGTCATCTGCGTGATCTGGCTCTACACGGCACCCCCCTCCAGCTACCGCAACCATGAGCTGGAAGACGAAATCATCTTCATCACGTGCCACGAGGGCTCACTCATGGCGCTCGGCTCCCTGATCGGCTACACCTGCCTGCTGGCTGCCATCTGCTTCTTCTTCGCCTTCAAGTCCCGGAAGCTGCCAGAGAACTTCAACGAAGCCAAGTTCATTACCTTCAGCATGCTCATCTTCTTCATTGTCTGGATCTCCTTCATTCCGGCCTACGCCAGCACCTACGGCAAGTTTGTCTCTGCCGTGGAGGTGATCGCCATCCTGGCAGCCAGCTTTGGCTTGCTGGCCTGCATCTTCTTCAACAAGGTCTACATCATCCTCTTCAAGCCTTCCAGGAACACCATCGAGGAGGTGCGCTGCAGCACCGCTGCACATGCTTTCAAAGTGGCAGCCCGTGCTACGCTACGCCGTAGCAACGTCTCCCGCAAGCGGTCCAGCAGCCTCGGAGGTTCCACGGGTTCCATTCCTTCCTCCTCCATCAGTAGCAAAAGCAACAGCGAAGACCCGTTCCCACAGCCAGAGAGGCAGAAGCAACAGCAGCCGCTGGCCCTGTCCCAGCAAGAACAGCAGCAGCAGCAGCAGCAGCAGCCCCTGACTCTACAGCAACAGCAGCCGCTGCCACAGCAACCGAGATGCAAACAGAAGGTCATCTTCGGCAGTGGCACGGTCACCTTCTCTCTGAGCTTTGATGAGCCTCAGAAGAACGCTATGGCCCACAGGAACTCCATGCGTCAGAACTCCCTGGAGGCCCAGAAGAGCAACGACACCTTGAGCAGACACCAGACTCTGCTCCCACTGCAGTGTGCAGACCCAGACTCAGAAATGACCATTCAGGAAATGGGCCTGCAAGGGCCCATGATGGGGGACCACCAGCCGGAAATGGAAAGTCCAGAAGAAAAGTCCCCAGCCCTGGTCGTGTCCACCTCTCGGAGCTTCGTCATTAGCGGTGGTGGTAGCTCGGTCACGGAAAACATACTGCACTCTTAATGGAGGTAAAGACGGCCTGTCCTGCTGATAGAGTTTTTCCTAGAGTCCCAGGAATAAGGATGGGTCCTTCCGTTCTTCCCAGGAAGCCAGGGATGATAAGTACATCAAATGCCTGTGCTCGGTTGCACTGCTTTGAATGAAAGGAACTGACTCGTGTGCTCTTTAAAGTTAAAACAAGAGCCATGTATTGGAGTTGTTTTCCAGAGCCCAGTACCATACCAGAGTTTATTGAAGTCTCTCTTCCTTTACTCTATCCATCAACAGCTCAGACGAAAGCAGGGCTCTAAGCTACTCACCTACGCTCTCCTTTAAAAAATGCGTATATCCAGCAATGCCTGCCCTGAGATTCCATGGACAGCATGATCTGAATCACAGTCCAAAGACAGACCAACAGGACATCAGATCTGTCACTGCTTGAATAGAGTCTGCAAACCAGTCTGTCACTGAGACTGTCTAACACATTGACAGTGGATGGAACTTTACATGTTCAAGACGTCAGCAAGATGTGTCCTCTCTTATTTATAGAGACCTTAAGAAGTGTGGTCTTTTTATCATCCCTGCTGCTGCTATTGTGTGACATCTATCAATTCTGTGTCCTTTCTGTGGCACCATGTTGGGGATGTGTCCAGAATGCCATGTTTAGGTCTCAGGATTATAAGATCACCTCTAAGCACTGGGGAAGGACTGACGAATCCAATGGTCTGTCTCCATAATTAATATTGCTGTACATAGCTTTACCCTTAAGAAAACACTTCTGTTGTTGAAGTGTTGCAGTCTGGGTTCTCCATGGCAGTATTATTGAGTTCTGTTGTCCTTTCCCATCCCTCACCCCAGTGAGCAGAGCCCATGTGGTCCCTCTCAAGCCCATAGCTTCTGAAACTCTCCCATCCCTACACTAAAGGCTTTGTGAAGCCAATTCCAGATCTGGCTCTGTGGAGAGTACCCTCCCAGAAGAAAGTGTGGTTCCCAGTGAAGGCCACAGTTCCTTCAGCAGTGAAATTAAAGGTGCTCACCGGCCACCTCACTGCTGAGAACTCAAACTTTGGATGACAGGGACCAAGGTTCAGGCTATGGCTTGGTCACTGGCAAGATGGGCGATAATAAGCAAGGAGCCACAGCCTCTTTAAGCCCAGCTTTTCTGCATCTAAGTAGGATGTTACGGTTCTTTGCCTATGCGGCTCTCACATGGGTAGAGGGCGAGCATGTGTCAACATATTTTAGCATGGTGCCTAACACCTAATAAGCACTTAGTGTTAGTAAATATGATTAGTGATACAGTAACTACTAGTTTCCACTTGCTTAGACTATGCTATAGTTTGGATTATGACCCTCAAGGTCCACATATTAAAAGACTGGTCCCTTGTATGGTCCTCTTGGAAGGTCATGGTGCGTTCAGTAAGTAGGGCTTAGTAGGACATAGTTCAAGTGAGGGTATACCTTTGAAGGGAGTTATGGGACTCTGGCCCCATTCTTTGTCTCTTTTTATTTCCTGACTGTTAAGATGAACAGTCTGCGATGACACAGGGCTGCCCATTGTTGCCACCCAGCTTCCCACCAGGAACCCAGTGGTCCACATGAGCATGGACCAGAACCTCCAAAGCAAAGCATCAAGATTAACCTCTTTGACACTCTAATTATCTGACGTATTTTATTATGCTGAGAGAAAGCTGACAAATACAGAATATAAGGCAAAACTTTTTAAGCATTCAGATTTTAATGCCTAATCCGCTGATCACAATAGCTTGCTTCAGGATAAGCCCAAAATTAGTGAGGCCCAGGTCAAGGTGTCAGCAGAAGCCAGATCCTACTAGCACCCCCCAAAAGCCCCAAAGTTCTGCCTCTGTGATAACAGTATCACTTCCAGCATTATTGTAGCATTGTTGGTAGTTTCTCAGATCAGATTCCACCGAGCTACACTGATCTCAAGACCATGCCACAGAATGTGCACCTGTCAGTGGTTTAAATTTACAGAGTCTTCCCTGACCATTTCCTTCTGAGGGTTCTTAAGGTAACAGTTGGCACTATAATCATGGAGAGTATTGATGAACTGCAAGAGGGTGCAGTAGAATTCCGCCCTGTCACAGAGCACAAAACTGTCCTGGTGGGGCAGTAACACTCCAGTCAGTAAGGGAACAGCCTGGCAGAGCCTGTTCATCTGCTGTCACCCTCTGAGAAGGCACCATGCTGGGTGAGGGTTCATTTTTAACATTTCACTTGACCCTAAAATAAATAAACAAAATAGCAGTCAAACATTTAGTGGCTTTTCAAAAACACCTCACAAAACTGTGTGGCAATAACCTTTGTATAATGGCACACACTCTTCCTTCATGTTCTTATTGCACATGGTCCCTTCTTCCACAAGTAATCTCCTCATCCCATAGTGAAAAACTGATGCTCATCAAGGAAAACATGTTGCAATATGTTCATTATGACAGGGGCTTGCAAATCAAGTGGCCTTTATGAACAGCCTAATCAGAAAGGCACATGGGACCACCACACTAGTCACAACTCTGCATCCAATCACAGGGATAAGATAGGAATTTCATTATGCCTCTATAGCAACCGACCTTTTCATCTCAAATTCCTGTTCTGCCAGCAACTGAAGCTATAGTTAAATCAAGTTGGGTACCCCACCCCCAGCCCCAGTAATTTCAGAGTTTTCTCATTCCAATTCTATTTTTAGGTATCTGCTCAGGAGTTTTTTCTTCTTCTTCTTCTTCTTCTTCTTCCTCTTTCCAGTAAGTCAGTGAGGGGTGAGGGTCTTCAGTCATAGGCAGTTCCTCTTAGCATTGCTGAAGCCATCTTCTCTGTCTCTCAGTATTAGTGTCTCTATGTTGGCTTCTTCTATGTATCTGTGGCAGTCCATTTTCTGTTCATGTAACAGACTAACCAAGCAGGCCAACTTTATAGAGAAACGAGGTTTACTTAACTCATAGTTCTGCTGGCTCACGGGCCAAGACCATACGATTGCCATTGGTTACCACAATGGCAGGAAAGCACTGGAAGGAAGGGATTAAGTACTAAAATAGTAAGTCAGAGGATGATTCAGGGGTCAGCTTTACTCTTACAACAACTCATTCTTGATACTCCAGGGTCCCCATAAGAACTACCTTAATTCCTCAAAAAGCAGATCCCCCAGTGACCTAAAGTCCTCCCACAAGACTTCACCTCTCAGCACCATCATACTAGGGGCCAAGCCCTCAACACATAGACCCCTTGGAAACCATATCCAAACCATGAAAGCATCATTTCCCCAGCCATTCCCCAACCATAGGTTCTGTGGTGGTTCCCATGGATGAATCACTCTCAACTGTGACCCTTCCCAGCTCTGCAAGCTCCCTCAGCTCCCTCCAAGCCCATCCTAGGGACTAGTAAACCCTATGATCTCTCAATATAGTGACCACTTGACTGCTGCCCAACCATGTCAATATTGTTACCAAGCATGCAGAGCACACACAAGTAAGGAATAGGGTAAAATGCCGGCAAGCCAGTGTGGAGCTGTGTGCTTCACAGAACAATGCTCAGCCAAAGAAGCCCAAGACTCCAGCCTCAGAGTCTGTGATTGCCTCAGAGCCACGGTGATCTAAGTTGCTGACCAAATTCAGATTCCTTCCAGTTAATCATGAGGTGGGAGCCTGCAGAACGACCAGTGACAGGTGGCACAAAATGAGGAAGACTGCAGACCTTCCATCCTCTACTGCTTTGTGTGTGGAAGGAAATGAGGGGCAATGGGGTATGGGCTGTTTCTGGAAGCTGGACAGAGTAAGAGTCCCGATTCTCCCCAAGAATTTCCAGGAAGGCACATGGAGCTGGAGACCTTGGTTCAGCCCAGTGAGACCCTTTTAGGACTTCTGACCTCTGGAACTGTAAGATAATAAATTTGTGTTGTTTTAAAGTGCTGAGTTTTGTGGTCATTTGTTTTAGCAACTACAGGAACCAATTGTTTTTCAGTTCTAGGAATTGAACTCAGGTTCTAAAGCACAGAGACGAGCACTGTACCACAGAAAGAAGCTTCCAGCCCAAATATATCCTATGGTCATAGCTTTTCCTGAACTTCTCTGCTTTAAGACATCAGACAGAGACCTTCTCAGGCATCCATTCTCACTGCGGTACCCTTCCTTCCAACATTCTCACTCTTCCCCAGGAGCAGGTCTTAGCCAGTGTTCTACTCTCCAGATCTGTGTGGGAAGTGTAAGCCCTGTGTTGTGAGTCATGCTGGACTTTAGCTACAGAAAACAAATGGCTATGCTGACACAACCAATCCCTTAGCAGCAGAAACCTAACAGATAGTTGCTTCATCACACTGGCATTTGTTTTTCTCTTGCATGAAATATTATAAGAGATAAAAATATGATCACTGTCTTTTTAAATTAAAATCTTATTTTACATACTGATCCCAGTTCCCTCTCCCTCCCGTCTTCCCATGCCTCCCACCAACCCCCATCCACTCCCCAGGGAGGGTGAGGCCTCCCATGGGAGATCATCCAAGTCTCTCACATATGATCACTGTCTTTGTCAGTTTTTTTGGGGGGGAGGGAGGAAAGACCATGTCCACAGAAACTCTTATAAAAAGAAACATTTGATTGGGGGCTGGCTTACAGTCTCAGAGGCTTAGTCCATTATCATGGATCAGTGTCTCAAACTTGGGAAAAGCTGGGCTGTGCTGAAACTATCTCTCTACAAATCATATTTTAGGTCAATGCTGCTTTTTGTCCTGGCTAAAACTACATGGCTGTGGCTGCCTCTGCCTGAAGCCTGCATTTCTTTTGCCCCTGGCACCATGTTTGAAATCATTAGTGTTAAACTGGATGAGTGAGAACATTACCTGTAACCCTAATTACTGTGGAAGCGGAGACTGATGATTGAGCATTCCTGGCCAGCCTGAGCTACATAGCAAGACCCTGTGAAAGGGAGGAGGGAGGGAGGGAAGAAAGAAAGGGAAGACTGAGAGAGGGAGTGAAAAAAAGTCATTAGACCTGGTAGGACAGAATATCAACAAGAATGCAGAGTAAATCACCAGAGGAGGTCATATGCATTGGCTGGTCATTTTAAAATACATTAGGGACAAAGGCAGACACAGATGCCAGATATGTATGGAATTGGGGGATAATAGGAGGCAATTGTGAAATCTCTGGTTTCCAGGATTGCCTAGGTTCCTGGCCCAGAAAGAGAAAAAACTTAAGAGTTAACTGAGAACTCAGATAACTGGACTGTTAAGCAGAACGAGACGGAGTTTGCTGGAGTCAACAGATGAATGGCTGGTACTGGTTCTGTCTTGGGTTTTGTTTTTGTTTCTTTGTTTTTAATTTAGGACAGGGTCTCATGTAGCCCAGACTGGCTTCACTATATAATTAAAGATGGCCTTGGCCTTGACCTCTCCATCCTTATGCCTGTGCCTTCCAAGTGCTGGGATTACAGTGTACACTACTGTACCTGACAGGTTACTGCCTTTCCTTTAAGATGAATAAGTCTAGGAAGTAATGGTCAGCACAAAGACTAGAGTTAATCAGAATGTGTTATATCTCGATTCCTGCTAAATGGATTTATTTTGGCTGTTCTTGCTGAAATGGGATAAATAGACAATCAAATAAATAGTAGTACCACAGCTTGAATATGTCCTCATAAGTTCACATGGTAGAAACTTATCCTCAGAGGAAACAGTGTTAAGAGATGGAACCTGTTTGAGGTACTTAGGGCTGGGTGTGGTAGCCCATACTTTTAAACCCAACAATCTGAAGGCAGAACCAGGTGGGTCTCTGTGAGTTCAAAGCCAGCCTGAACTTTATAGTTCAGTCTACAGACTGAGTTCCAGACCTGTGGGGGCTACATAATGAAATCCTGCCTTTAAGAAAAAAAAGAAAGAAAACAAGCTGGGCGTTGGTGGCGCACACCTTTAATCCCAGCACTCAGGAGGCAGAGGCAGACATATCTCTGTGAATTCGAGACCAGCCTGGTCTACAAGAGCTAGTTCCAGGACAGCCTCCAAAGCCACAGAGAAACCCTGTCTCAAAAAAAGAGAGGAAAAAAAAAGAAGACGAAGAAAGAAAGAAAGAAAGAAAAAGAAAACAGACAAAAAAATGTGAAGTCAGTTCCTCATTCTACATCTTGAAAGTGAGGTGGGTTCCCCCACAGACCAGTTTGGGCCAGTCTTCTTTCTCCTCTGCTGCCCCCCCCCTTGCTCCTGCGTACACATGTGTATGCGTGTGTACACATGTGCTGTCTCATCTCACAACAGGGTAAGGAGGTCCTCACAGGTGTGGGCCCCTTGACTCTGGACTGCTCAGACTCCAGAACTGTAGGAAGGAAGTCTTAGTTCTTCTGAATCACTCAGTCTCGGGTATTCTCTTGAAGAAGCACAAAATGGGTTAAGGCAGCTCTGTGAAGTGACGGCCATGTTAATTTGTTTCCCGTAATGACCATCTCACTATCTGTCTGATGCATCCTACAGCATCTTGCTGCACCCTTAAATATATACAACAGAATGTGTTTCAAACTAAAAGAATTTAAAGATGTAGCTGAATTTTTAAATAAATAAACACATTGTTTAAGATGAGAATCACTCCATTCGGGCAGTCTTCCCGGCCCCCTAAAGCTTTTCTGTAGTTCAAAGTAGCCCCAGAATGGTCTGTGAAGCATTTTGATTCATTTATTCGTGAACCCATTGACTGTGTAGATTAATGGAAAAATGAGGAGCAGGATTTCAAACAGTATAGCAATCTGACTTTGCTTCAGTTTCCTACGTGAAGAAGATACAAGACCCCTACTAAAGCTGCAAACTGGGGCTTTGTACCAAATCTAGTAATAGGTGTGAAATTATTGGTAGACACAGGTCCTGGGTCCAATGCCTAGCACTGAAAAAAAAGTGACAATTAAGCTTTAAAAGGCAGGTATAAGGCTAGCGAGTTGACTCGGTGGTTAAGACTGCTTGCTGCTTTTCCAGAGCCCTGAGTTTAGTCCCCAGCAACTACACCAAGCAGCTCACAATTGCCTGTAACTCCAGCTCTAAGGATCCCACCTCTTTTTCTGGCCTCCTTGGGCACCAACATATGTGGTGAACGTGCGCACGCACACACACACACATGCACACACACATACACACATTTCTAAACATAACAAATCTTAATAAATACATAAAAACAGGCATGTTATCACACTTGATAATCTCAGCATTCAGGAGGGAGCAGAGAATCATCAGTTTAGGACCAGCCTGAACTACAGAGGGAAGTGCCTGTCTCAGACAGAAGAAAGAGGGAAAAAATGAAAGAAAAAGTGTCACCTTCAAGAATATGTGTCAAATACAGATGAGCGCCAAAACCACACAGTTTGCTTTTAAATGCTCAGCAGGTATGAAATTCAATGGTTTCTTTAGCCAGCATTCCTGATTAGAAACACAAGCACCCACTCCACGTTGCTTAAACAGAGAGGATTTCAAGCTACGGCACTGGGACCCATAAAATGTGGAAGGGAGTGATTCAAGTTTGGATGGCATCCAACAGGGGCAGTCACACCGGGTTGTTAGGCAAAAGTTTCACTCCCTACCCCCACCTTCTCTCAGCATACAGGACCCAAAAACCAGACCCAGAGGCTGTCCTGCACTTGTCACAGCCAGTGACAGGCAGACCTGTAGCCCACAGAGACAGCATGCTAGAAAATCATGGTCTGTGATGAATGGGCCGGTCTGTCACACTGCCAAGTCAAACCACATCTTTTAAGATCAAGATCAAACGAAACCCATACTTTCTTGATGGGTATTTAGAAAAAAAAAAAGCAAATATGATCCCCCTTTCATGTCAACAGCTGTGGGAGATCAAATGACACTGGGAGGAAGCCAGAGATGAGCTAGGTTTTGTCAGGGGGAACAACCTGCTGGCAGATGAGACAGGGCAGGCAGGGGGAGTTCCGAAGGAAGTGTGGGGTCTGCTGAGGTCTGTTACAGGCCATTAGCGTTGGCTTTTAGTGATGTGTGTTTGTGTACGTGCATCTTCACTGGCTTGGCAGTGTCTGGTGTACCAGGGAAAAGGCACGATCCTTTCACAGTGATTATGTCTGGTCTTAGGATGTGCATCATCTTATTTTCTTTTTAATCTTTTCCTGGGTTTCATTTTCCATTAACTTCTTTCTATAAAGAGAAACCAAAGCTGGATTCCCCACCCCCAATTAAATAAAAAACAAAGCTGGAGATGTCATCCTGTGATAGTGTTTGCCCAGAACAAACAAGCTCCTGGGCTTGAGCCCCAGCACCACAAAATAAATAAAGACAACAAGAATAACTTCTAGAAGGGTGATTTAGAGCAAAACAAGAAGAAAGCTATCATCGGGATTATTAGATGTGATGATGTTGTGGTCATGGTTTTCCTTTGTTCATTGGGGATTTTTTATTATTATTTAGAAATAACTTCAAAATGACAGAAAAATTGAAAAATAAAAGTAACTCAAAAAATTCCCAACTTTCCCCTGTGCCATCAATTTTATCCCATTTATTCACACTTGTGCCACGGTCATTTAACAGAAGTACACATGCTCTCAATCTGATGATCTGGGCTTTCTTTAAAATGCAGCTGGAAGGGCTGGGAAGAGGGCTCAGCTCCTAAGAGGGTTAATGCGGCCGAGAACCTAAGTTCTCTTCCCCTTGCCAGCCTGGGAAGGCTCACAACAGCTCCAGGGGGTCTAACCCCCTCTCCTAGCCTCCAAGGGTGTTCACCGGCACAGACCACACACACACACACACACACACACAAAATTAAAATAAATCTAAACAAAACATAATACAGTAATACAAGGATAGATGTATAGTGAAGAGAAGCACCATGGAAGGTCATGGTTGTTGTTTTTGTTTGTTTTGTTTTATTGGTTTTGCAAGATGGGGTTTCTCTGTGTAGCCATCCTGGCTGGCCTCGAACTCAGATCTGCCTGCCTCTGCCTCCCGAGTACTGGAATCATGATTGTTAAAGCAAGTCGAGGGCATAAGAAGCTACATTTATTTCTTTGCCTCTTGGGGAAGAGGGTAATTTTTTCTGTAACAAAAATTTACGATAAAGCAGCCAAAGGATTCTTAAAAATTCAATAGCTTTAAAGTCACACTGAAGAATTTCCCTGACTTGACTGGAGATTAATCACTGGAGACGTTAGTCATTTAAGTGATCACAGCAAAAAGAACCTGAAAGTCTACCCTGGAGTCAACATTTGCATTAAGTAAAAGCCTTTAAATAAATCTGGCTGTGTCTGAATCAGTAGGTGAGTGCAAGCTTAGATTATCGTATGCTGAGGTCCTGGGTTCAAATTCCAAAGCTGGGAAAAAAGTTAACTGACGAATTTTACTACCAGATCCATGGTGACTCTTTAGAGCATATCAGAAAGTCCTCGCTGGGGCTTACAGAGTCCAGTTGTGACATTTGTCCCATTTTTCACCTTATTCTCAAATGAACCAACTATTTGACGGTTCAATTTCTTTCTTCTTTTTTCTTTTCTTTTCTTTTTTTTTTTTTTTTGGACTGTTCTCCAACAAAATGCAAAGGAAAAACAACACAAAAAAATCAGTGAAAATCACAAGATAACTCTGATTCTTTTTAGGTGTCCTAGAGTAAGCTCTTAAGCTTTGCTTCACAATGCTAAATTCTCCACCCAGAGGCATTCCCATCTACTATGTTCTTGGAACATGTGATAGATGACGTCAAACTGAGCATGCTCAGCAGTGTGCACCCTGCTGTGCCAGATGGCGAAATTTTCCTGTGTAAGCATGAGTATGTTTTCCCAGTACAAGCCCCTTGTTGTCTATGTTTGGGGGAGCACCGCTTGAGGAAGTCTCTCCTTATTCACTATACTTAGTCCGTCTTCATTCTTTGAACTCCTGGCTGTGCCTGTGGCCTTTGTCCTCACCAAGGAGCGAGCCTACTGGATTCAGGTAAGGAAGCTCTGAGCCCTCTTCCTTTACTATTGTCAAGAACAAAATTATAAGGCCAGTGAGATGGCTCCGTGTGTGAAGATGACTCACGGCCAAGCCTGAGGACCTGAATAGATTCCCAGGCCCCACATGGTGGAAGGAGGGAGATGACACCAGTGGATTGTCCTCTGACCCGCGCATGCTCCCTAAGGCACGTGCGCGTGCACACACACACACTTTTAAAATGTAATTTGAAAAAGAAAACAAAATTACATCAATTCAAAGGTCTAAGATGCTTTCGTGATTCTAGAACCAGGTAGCACTTTGTTCTATAAAGTAGAATAAATAAGCCCTGGGCCTAACAGGAAAAATTGGTCTTGTAGAAGAAAGGAGTAGAAAAAGAAGAAGAAGAAAAAACCAAAAAATAGATTGGTCACTTCAGTGTTGCTTTCCTTGTACAGCTGTGACAGGAGGAGACACGATGGGAAGTGAATGGCTTGGTTACCAGGTTAGCCTCTGTGTATAAAGATTAAGGCAAAGGGAACCTAAATATGCCCACTGAAACTGGCCTGATTGGGAAATATAGCTGTTTTCTGATATTTTTTCCTCTTAAGTTTGATTGGTGAAGTAGACTTAAGCACTGGCTAGTCTATTCTCATTTCTAGTCTGGCCTGTTGGGACCTAGTGCCGAAGTTCATTCAAAACAACGGCATCGCTTTGGGTAGTAGATCAGTATTTATCCCGGGTATACAAATAGACTTTGGACTCCCATCCAACAATGAGAGAT